CTTCCTTCCTTCCTTACCTTACATAATAATCCTGCTGCCCAAGGAAAACAATTGCCTTTTATCCTCTTCCGTTTCTCTTCTTCTGCCCACCTCCACCCCAGATTCCATTACCCCTACAGCTTTAACCCTAGGAGGGTTCGTCGCTTTTGCCCTTCCCACGGCTCCCCACAGTTTCTCACACACAACTCCCCCCCCCCCCACACACACACGCCGAGGTTACATTAGCTCCTTTCCTTCCGACTGCATCCCACCACAACCACGACCTTTGACACATCCTCTACGAGCAGGCATGCATGGTGTACCTATTTACCCTGTCACACATGGTGATTGTTCCAGACACATCACCACCATCACCATCACCACCGCCATCACCACCACTTGCCGGCCGAATGGGCCTCTTCCCATCCCTGACCCCAGCACAATCCCCCACAAAACGCCGAAACCCCATTCACAGTAGCAATAATAACAACAACACAACTACTACAACGATTCCCGCAACCCCACCCTGCAGCCCACCCCTGCAGCCTTACCTAGCTTGATGCAACCAGATCAACGGATCAGGCGAACCAAGCCAGGAACTAGACAAGCAACCCCAACCCTGCACGTGCCATGCTGTAATAGAAAAGTGCTATAGCTTTCCCGGCGCACAACTACCCTGGAGCATACGACCCTGACTCAGATCGGCAGAAGGGCATTTAGGAGGTAGGAGCCAAAAGCCACAACACGACCCCACGACTCCCTGGGCTCAGCCGCGCCTTGCCTTGCCTGGGGGTTAGACCGGCCTTGCTGCCCTCTGGCCTGCCCTCTCCCCGGGTCACTGCCCCTGCCGCAGTGCCCCTCACCCTCTGCACTCTGACCTGCCTTTAAACTGCAGCCTACCCGCCCCCCCCCGGGGCTCCGAATGCTGTGTGTGTGTGTGCCAACTCTTTGGCCGAGAGCGGCTCACAGCCATCCTAGTCCATCCTGCCCGGAATGTTCAGCCCGCCCAGAGCTCAGGCGACGAGGACCTCCGTAAAGACATCTCTAGCCCTTTTTCCTTCTTCTTCATCCTCCTCCTCCTCCTCTTGCTGCTCAGCATCATTTGCCGCAACTTTGCCTTCTACCCAGCCCGCCCATCCATCCAGACAGCCAGCCGCCCATCCGTCCACCCCCAGCACATCCTAAGCCATAAAGTATTGCATCAGCAGTGGGACCTAGGAACACACCACACCACTGGCCATGAAGACAGACGGCCTCCTGAATACGGTAAGGAGTCATGAACAGAACTTACAGGCGATCCGCACGCACGCACATAGTAAAGCACCACACCGTAGCAGCAGCACAGCACATAACAAAGAACCACTCCTTACTTTGTCCAACCCCCCCGTCATAGTAAACCCCCCCTCCTACCGCACCCGCAACCAGATGGTTGGCGATAAAACGATAAGGGAAATGGTGATAAAAAAATGCATGCGCAGTCTTGCGAACGACTTCCCCCCTACACGCACACGACATACCCCATACACCATACACCAGATGCACTCACCCAACAACCAGTCACCCGAGTCGCACACGTCCACAACAACAACAACAACAACAACAATCTATATTATACGCACGTGCATGTATTCCTTTTACGTGTTTCCTCCCGTCATTCCTCACAAACCTGATGGGACTAGAACCTGATGGGACCTAATGATAGCGGTTAAATCCGCGCAGCGCTGCGCTGCGATATTCAGAGCGCTGCGTGATCCGCGGGATATCATACACAGCATCGATACCCGAGGATCCCCCAGCCCACGACGACTCCCTTCTTACCATGCAGTCTCTAACCTTTAGGTCTCCTGTCTTGAGCCAACCAGTAGTGCTGGTGTTGGCGGTGGCGGCGGTGGTGGCAGCGGTGGCGGCCTCGGCATTTCGCCACTTAGCTATATCACTCCTCCAGATCCCCCCAGACAACAATCTCAAAACCCCTAAGTGCACCCTTAGTCCTTCTGACAGCCAAAAGCCGATGCGCCAAAGCAATTGGTCAAGTAATGCCCATCAGGTGAAAAGGCGGGGCCGGACGCAACACTCGCTGCGTGCGTGTTGGGGCGCCGCAGCAGAGCTCCAGCACGCCTTCTCTCTTCCCGGCCACAGGTATCACAGGGACGAGGTATTGGACCCCGGGCTCGCGCCTTTTGCACACGACTTTGCAGTGGTCTCTATCACATGTACGGCCGCCGACATCCGTCAGGGCTGGAGCGGGGGAAGCAAGCGGCTCCAGGGGTGTGGACAGCTTCCTATGTGCGCGCCAAGACATGGCGTGTGGTGCCATGGCGGCGTGGCAGCAAGGCGTGGTGAGGGAGTTCGTCGCTCTGGTCTACGCGGGATTATGGCTGCACGATAATTGCCAAGTGGGTTAAGGGGTTCCCCTTTGGTCCGACGCTGTTGAGACAACGTTGGTTGGTCGAGCGGGCACGTTGGGTGGATCAGGGTTGGGGCTTGCGGTAACCAACTACCGTGCATGACCGGTGGATTGCCCTCCGTCCACGTACCGGCTGAAATGCCGATCCCCAAGTCAGTTCAGTGACCTGCGTATCGGCTTCTGTCCACGGGTCATCCACCGATGACTTACGAACGACCCACGGGTCGCCTGTCCATCCTTCCCCCGTGAAGGGGGCTGCAACATACATACACCCAGCTCGCTCATTCGTCTCCCACCATGTTGAGCAAATCAAAGGTGTTGGAGATCTTGGTCGGCTTGACGCCCTGCGTTCCCGCCAACCTCTTATACAGAGCTTGTGCCTTGGACTCGTGGTGCGGTTCCGGAGCGTCTTTCCGTACGCCCCCACCGCCGCCGCTGCCACTGGTACTGCCATGTGGATCGTCGGCCCTGCCCTTACGACCTCCCATGCTCGAGTCCCCGTGCTGCCCAGCCGCCGCGGACCCACCGCCAGACGGGGCGCCACCGCCGGACTGGCGGCCGCCGTGGCCGTGGCCGCGACTGTCACTGGCGGGGCCGCCGGGCTCCGCTCCTGCGCTGCTGGTACCGCCGCCCCGACCGTGACCGTGCACATGGCCGTGCGGCCCATGCTCCGGCCCATGATGGGAGTGCGGGTGGGGGTGCGGGTGCTCATGCCCGTGCCGTCCGCCTCGGCCACTTTCGCTTCGGCCACCGCCGCGCCCGCCATCCCCCCGGCCGCTTCGGCCAGCGCCTCTCCCGCCCGCACCGCGACCGCCGCGGGGTGGCCGTTCCTCAACCAAGGAAGCAGCAGCAGCAGCAGCAGCAGCTGACGGCGCACTTCCGTCCTCAACCACTGGCACATGCTCCGACGAAACCGCAGCGGCTGGAGCAGGCTGCGGCGCCGATGCCGCCTCGTGCCGCGGCCGGCGGGGCCCGGCGCCGTACCCAGCGCCGCCACCGCCACCCGTGGGCCCAGATGCCACTCCCGCTGCTGCCGAGACTGCAGCTACCGCTGCATCCGCAGCGGCTGCAAGCTGGGGCTGCTGCGTGGATGCTGCCGGATGATCGCTATCATGAACCGATGCGGCCGCGGCGCCGCCGCCGCCGCCTCGTCCCCCCATTCTGCCACCGCCCCTAGGGCCGCGGCCGCCGCGCCAGATGCGCTCGACACTGCCGCGGCGGCCAGAGCCGCCGCCACGACGGCCGCCGTACTCCGCG